TGGATTCGGAGGTTATTGTCCATCAAAATCCTAAAATTCTAGGCTCGCGACTTTATGTGCACTTTGTCGTGAAATACTGGATCTAATAACCGAAACATTCAAATACGTTTCTAACTACGAAGAATTACTTGATTGAGGTCGCATACTCAGTAAGCATGGGACATGTAAATCCACCATAATTGACACAATGCCATGCTGATCTTTTATTGAGAATCGTTTCGGCCGTCTATGTTCCCTGCACTCGGAAAGAGACATCACCATTAAAGTTCCGAGTACTGTTTTGTTGATTTAACAGGCTTACTTGTGCTTGTTGCGGCTGCTATCATGAATGATCTAGCTGGCCTCAATGATGTCCCGTACGGTGCTTTTCCACGCGCGACTATCCGTGACCACAGACCTGAACAGTTCGAGCCATTCTCTACGCCAGCTCCGGAGACCGAATACCGAAGATACAAGAATCACTCCCATGTCCTGACGGACTGAGTCGAGCTAGGCTTTGGGCTGACCCCTTCTTCGATTTTTCCAACAAGGTAACAGTCTCGGTTCGAGGGCACTAACACTGAGTTCGTGAGGTTGACGACGAAGAATGTGTCCAAACCACCTCAGTCATCTTTCTTGGGCGGCCCGGGATATCCTTGCGATGTTGTCGCAACGAGTGCGGACTGTCTCATTTGAGCCAAGGTCGATGTACTTCATTTGAAGGATGGTCATCGAGCAGTGGTGGTAAGATAACTCCAGTTTCCGTTCATCTTCTATGCGCATAGCGCTGCATTCGCAGTCGTATAACAAAACGGACCGCACAGATGCACGGTACACGCGGACCTTCGTCGCGATAGAGATGTCGCATCGGATCCATAGACACTTTCGAAGGTTGGAGAAAACTCGCCGAGCTGCATCGATTCGGGAGACAATGTCATCCTTACTCTGTCCTTTCAGCAGCAACCTCGCTGCGCGTTATTTGAAACTGTCTTCTTCAAATTTACAGCCATTTATCTCGAGGGGTGCCTTCTCTTGTACAGGGATGCAGCATGATAACACCTTGGTATTCCCAGCGTTTATAGACAAACCGACCGATTTAGCGACCTCTTTCGCCTATGACCCCATGGACCAGGGGTCGGCAATCTTTTTGACTAAGAGAGCCAAGAAGGCAAATTTTTGAAAATATATTTCAGTGAGAGCCATATAATATATTTTAATATTAGATTCAATTAAATGTGAGTATAATAAGCCCCTGGATTTATTCTTTGAAGTGATATTCTTATAATATTCATTGTTAATGCGACTTCTGGTGCTGCATGAATTCGCTGATAGTTTTGTAGTCTGGTTGGTAGTTGGTGAGCTTAAGCTTCATGCAAGCGTTGAGGATTTCATCCGTTAGACGTGATCGTAGGGTGGACTTGATGCATCTAAGACGTGAGAATGACTGCTCACATGCATACGTAGATCCAAACAAGGTCAACAGAGCAATACTCGCACGCTGTAGTGTGTGGTATGTGACAGGAAGCGTGTTCCAAGTTTTGATTACCAGCTGGTCTTCAGGTTGAAGTTTTTTTAATTTCTGTCCAAATTTGCTTGCTTGCCAACTCCCCTTTATGTCGTACGATTCTTTCCAAAGCTTCATTGAGTGACTTGAACTTATTCACCCACATGTTTGAGGCCTTCAGGTCGGCCACTTCATCTTCGAAATCTCGGCAGAAGTAGCTTATGTGGGCCCACTCATGTACCCCTAGTCCCAGCATTTTGTCCTGCAAAATAGATGGTTATAAAGTTTTGGGTGGTGAGGAAATCGGATTGACAGAGAAGGAATTTTTTAGAAATAACTGTAAAATGAAAAAAGTGTGGTCGAAATTGCTTCCCACGGCCACTGGGAGTAAGTTGTTCCGCACATAAATTGAAGGTGTGCACGGCGCTTTGCGCCGCGGACTATACTAATCTAACT